AGTAAATTTTCCGATCTTCAAAGCGGTCCTGTTGATAGTTTTGTAAAGAGAGTAACTGTTCTTTATGCCATTAATAATTTTGTCCACCTATGTAACTCCCTAGTGCACTGGTATTCAAAACTGTATGTAGTGTGTTAAAGTCTTTGATGAAATATTAGAAACTATTCAGTAATAAGAAGCAGTTATGACAAACCATCAGTGAAATAAATTAGAAATGTAAATGATATTCAGTTGTGGTTTTGTTAAATGGAGAATTGACAAAAGTGGTCAATATAAAGCACTCGATTCCAGCTTAGTCGTTTAAAGGCACGACACTCACAGCAAGACCTGATGCTACTGGGCACGACATATCTAGAGCTCACCGACATGTATGTTATGAGCATTGTAATAAGCCATTCACTTCATAATCTTTTCATGCATATCGATCAATTACCAATTACACGATGTAATGTGAATTATTCTTTATAATTTTGTTTCATTGAATTCCCGAATCATAGTCAACATCTTAGGATTCATTAGTTAATCAGTTTTATCAATTATTATTAATAATAACCTGATTTAAGGTGATTAGTCTTAATAACGTATTAACATATCATCGTAATATACGTATAGAGGAAGAAATATTATAAACCATAAGTTATATCAAATTGGCGATGACAAAGTTTTTCAACGAACCTACCCACCACACTATATTTTGTAATTGGATATATTTCATTAATCAGAAATGTTTACTTTGAAAGTAAAAATCAGACGATTTGTGCAAACTCAAGGGAAAATAATCAGTATCTTGAAGAAAACTGTGTTTATTAACGTTGAAAATGGACAGGATTCAAATGTTTCGATGTTGGATTTTGATCACTCTAATGATTTAAGTATGTCGGGTGAAGTCCTCAATCGTTGTGAGAATAATGTTTCAAATGAATCATACTCTGATCAGATTCATGATATCATTTTACCAGATTTATTTGTTTCTAATCAAATTATTTACAAATACGTGGGAGATATGATGCGAGTACATCAAATTCTGATCGGAATTCAGATGTGGTGTGTTTTAATGACTCATTTTTTTCAAATGAAATCTTAGTTGAATGTGAGGAACAAGTTCGAAATGTGTTGAAATCTGAATACCATCCTGATCGTGTCGCATCAAATCTTATTTGTCCTCATAATTCGACTTTAGTGACCTACTTTTATCAAGAGAACGCGATTGGTTTAATGGAAACAATCATTATTATAACCAATTGTACCAGTGATTGTTTTACTGTGCTAAAGACAGCCACATTACTCCATTACTTTTCCGCGGATCGTGACCTCGTACGTTCGTACACTTGCCCGCTGATTCCACTTGTACTACTTTTGGTACGATATCAGTATTCGTTCGATACCACGAGATCGCCAACGAAATAAATCTGGTTACGCTTCATCTTCGCCTTCTGATTTATTTGGTACGAGCTTCCTTGTAATGGTGTTCATAGTCAATCGCGACTCGACTCCACGCTACACGTTTATCTCTGGTGTTATTCCTAATGTATGAATATGGGACTAAAAATCTACCCACAAACTTTAAGGGAACGTTGATGTTTTGTAGTGAACGTCAAGTATGATTAGTCGCTGAGCGTGGACAAACAGCCACATATCAGTGTAGATAGTGTCTCTGGCCTGTAACATGAGATGATTAGTCGTTGTTAACTGACAATAGTAATAATTTATATTTAGTTGGAAAGGCGAAATCCAAGATGTCCTTATTCTGACTATGGATTTCACATAGACTCTGAAATGGCCAGTATGGCGTTTATAGTTCTAGTAAAATATGTGTAGGACAAATAAAATTGTACATGGAGAATCATAGGCCATCACCATTCTACATCGAACCCTGTCCGGGGCAATCAGTTCCAGTCGCTATTAATCCTTTTGAAGTTTGCTTCAAATTCTTGACGCACAACGTTCTTTGGCATTCCACTATGAAGTTTTTACTTTGAACATTAGTTACGATACCAACTGAATTCTTTACAAAGGTATTTAATAGAAAAACAAATGTGATTGAGTTGATCTGGCATTTATATGCTTGTTACGCGTTGTCCTACTTTTTGTTTCTTTAATTAGTTCATACGGACCCTCTTGTAGATATTCCATGGCTTTTTTCGCACAGTCAGTCCAATTTGTTCATAGTAACTGTCATGTTTCATTCATCTGTTCTCGTAATGATAATTTTCTTATCATTTCTCAGTTGTTTTAATAGATGTGATTCATTTTTAGTTAGATTGGAATTATGTGATTTTTGATGTAATAATGTGACCATTATTTTATTCCTCAATTCATTCACTGTTTCATTAGAAAGGTAATTCAGAGCTGGTTTGATTGCCGTTGATAATATTGAAAAGCGAAAATTGTCGTCCATTTATGTTGAAATTAAGTCCCATTTTAAAGAATGAAATTTCATAGGCACTCAGATTTCGATCAAACAAATTGCCGATCAATTTGCTAATATCCAGTGTATTCGATTTATCTGTAGTCTGTTGAGAACTCTGTTTTTCAATGCATATCTCAACACTTTTTCCAACTTTCTAATATGCCGTCGTTGTTGACGATTGATGATAAAACTGTTCTCTGTGTTTGAAAAATTTATTTCTAATTGATCTCATTTCTTTCGCTGTGACAACTGACAAAATTTCATCGATATTACTAATCCTTGAACGTAGTAACACCATATTCATAGTGGCTTTGTGGTATGGTGTACTTTTACTCTTATTCAAAAGATAATTAAATCAGTTCAGACCAAATAATCGGTAAGTTCAAACTCAATTATTGTTAACAGTGATCCTTATAGATCAATTGTTGTCATGCAAATCATCTTAATTGTCTTAATCAGACTATACAAACACCGACGGTTCAAGCTAAATGAATTCGAACATGTGGATTTTCAGTATTTCAAGCGAATTCATCAAACATTTTTCAATAGACATTATGGTTGACTTTCAAGCTGTAATGCATAGCACACACACACACACACATAAATATAGATGTCAGTCTAAACTTCACCACATGTAACCAATAATAAATAAATTAGTAAAAGTGACTAAACATTCATTAGTAATATTAAGTGAGTAGATGCTTGAGTACATGAATAAGTCACAACTACGTACATTTACTTGATCTGGCATCCACTTAAATTGCCCATTTATAGTCTACTATAAATTAATAAATAGGAAATTATAAAATACATAGATCAATCAATCAATCAATCAGCATTGCATCTCTCATTATTGACTCAAATGCCACAAAGCATTCCTTAGCACTAAAACAATTAAGTGGACCATTTTAACATACATATAACTGTTTAAATGAAATGAATTCAGCTTATTATCCTGATAAAGTACAGAACTTTATAAAGGCTCCAAACATATTCTATACGTCACTAAATATGATTCCTGTGCTTAAAACGTCTTGTTGATTTTTGTCAGTCTCATCTCTTCCTTTCACTCGATCATTCTGAAAACAACCATAACTTACGTGAGTGGGGAAAGCCTTTAATTAAATTCTTATTGTGAATCAGTATGAGTGATGCTTTTGTCAAGCAATTCAATATTACAAAGGTTTTGACAAAAGTCAGTAAGTTTTATTAGGATTAATTTAGCATGGAAAGCGCTAGTGGTAAAGTAGATCCCTTGGGTGGTATGATGTTCTCTGTGATAGGTTGTATGGTTGCAGTGATTATATTGTCTAGATGACAGCAGCATAGAATCAAACAGTGTAGCTCAGCATAAGTAACATCTTCAAGAAGCAAACGTTAGAAACTTTTCATTCAATGTTGGAAACTTCCAAACGACTTGGTCATCGACGTCTTAGAAAATACATACTAAATCCTCAAGTTAATTGACGAATCACTATCACGTCATTAGGTTTACAACATTCTATATCAACTAATTTCCAATCTCTAATTCTTCCCTCTCCCTCCTAGCAGAAAAATAACAGTCTAATTCATGCACTAGGAGGCGTTCCCATGTAGCTGAGAAATCGAAGTGAAATGACGATGTATGAATCAGGTCTGTTATGATGCCGCCAATCTTAATACTTACAGTCTTTTTTATATATCTCAGGAAACGAGTGATTGAAGCAATTTTTGATTTTCTATTTCGTTAGTCATCTAGGCCAAATTGGGTGACTCCTGTTCACAAGTTCGTCAGCCAAGTAACTGTTTGCATCAAACACTGAACATAAACCATTCCTAGTTGACTACTCCAACAACACACACTAGGGCAATATTACAATTACAGGTGATTACACTAATAAGAGCTTAAGATAGCGCGTTCTGTCACAACTTCATTTCAATTGAGATATAACATGGACAGAATAACACAGACATTACAATTATCATACATATAACCATAGATTGAATAAAGAAAACCAATTGATTGCATACAATTTACATATATTTTGTTTACCTAAATCTCATGAAAAATAAGAAGGAGAGAGAGAGGGATACAGAATCAAATCATATACACTTTGTGTAGTATATTGGTCGACAGCCTATGCTCCATTGGGAGTAACAGGCGTAAGTATGTAACTAAGTAAGTAAGTTGTGTCGTCAATTGGCAATGCCCAAAACTCTCCATTACGTAACCACCAGTCAAGTCACAAGAAAATTTTAGGAAAATAATTTTGAAAATATAAAAATTCAAATGAAAAAAACAAAACAAGAATAGAATGATCAAAAAGAAATTTCAATCACAAGTAGACAAAATGTACAAAAATATTGCAGTCCAGGAAGAAGAGCAACCGGACATCGGTTATCAACGTTGATCGCTTCATTGTTTTTAAATGAAGTGAATGTAGCATTTCACAAAAAAGGCGATATAAAAAACAGAAAGCCAATCAATAGGCTACCTTGTCTTTTTGTATACGGTGAATTTATACAATAAGTGAGTGTTCGGGTAGCACAACAAAATGACTGTTTAACAATGTTAACAATACACAATAATTCTATGCTTTATCTTTCATCTTCAAGTGGATGGTACAATACGGAAAAGTTTTTGTAATCCAATCGTGATGTTTACTGGAAAAATAAACAAAACATTGAATGTAAACAAACAAACAAACAACTAAAGAAGAAGATGGAGAATATCAACAAAATCTACAACTGATTCGATGATGTTGAATTCAGCTATTCGTAAGGAAGTTTGTCTAGTTCAATCATCATCATCAAATCATTTCAACATCTTTGAAATGATTTGTTCTCATATGATAGTTTTCATCAGGTCAATTACACATTAACTTGTTAAGATCAATGGAAGTTATATGAAGATTTTGTTGGGACGGCTTCCGAGAACTACGACGGAGCCTCCAGAGGTCCTACAGGAGTCGAAGAGTTCTATCCAATCAGAACGCAATGGAGCCTTCTAGAACATCAACGTGGCATGCCACTATTGGTCAGTAGCATAACATGCCTCTTCACGGACTGGTTGACTTAACAAATGCTAACATCTATAAATACACATGATTTTCTGTATATCTTGATTCTTGCCCAACAAACACTTTCTGCAGTCTTCTTTTGTCTTCTCGTTTGAGACTTGGAGGGTTCTAGCATTCGAGTGCTCAAGTTATACACGCTGTATTAGGAATCTAAGCTTTAGATATGAGCTTTAGATTTAATTCCTTACCATTTGTATTGCATTAAAAAACAATCGATATTTACATTAAAAAACTATTTCTGTCTCTTGTTAAAAACTACTCTAACTTCAACTAATCCACAAAATTGAGCGACATATCCACCGCTGACTTTAGTGAGTTAGTACCTCACAACATACCCAGTTGAACTCCACTGGTCACTGCTTCTCACTATAACTCCAGGAAATACCTCTTGAAGTCAGTCACCAGTGGGCATATGTTGAATAATATCAGAATGGGCTTTGTGTGGATATTATAGTAGTTTTAATAGTTGAGATCATGAGTCAATTGAAGATAGACCACCATGCAAAACCTAGAAACACTAGACGGCCGTTAAGACCTGTTGCGAGACTCCTCACCAGTGCACATCTACGATCCCACTTCGCGAGATTCGAACTCAGGATCTATTGGTCCCATGATCTCAACTACTAAAGTTACTACAATATCCACAAAAAATCCCATCTGACATATTATTGTACTATTGGATTATTGTATTGAAACTTATTGTCCTAACGATCACTGTTCTGATAAATTATATTATTGCCAATCTCTTGACCGATGGATGACCTAATAAGAAACATCATGTGTCATTCATTGAAAGCATGAATATTATCATTTGACTTGAGAAAAAATCTCTTTTCTAGTTTAATAACAATTGAAAAACATTTTCACAGTAAAGAAAATGGAAGTCCAGTAACTACTGGCTAGAGCTTATTAAGGCATGTGTATTAGTAGTTGACACATAGAATATTTGTATACATACCTGAAATAACAACAATTATTAGAAATCAATACTTAGATTTGGAGATCTAATCAGAAGATTGAATTATTCAAACCTAATACCTAACTCAAGCCTCATAATTTCCTTCCGTTTGACTCAAATGTTGATGGCATAGAAGTGATTGTATGCATGTTCAGTAAGTGTTGTCCAAATTGATTAAATTCATAAAATGTATAGTAGTGTCAATTACTCAAATGTTTAAGTATTTATAATTGTATTGGGTTAAAAGAGGTTTGAGCATCTACATAGTTGTGTCATATGGTTTAGCTGTGTTATTCAGAATTCTAAATAGCTGAGATGATATAGTTCTCCTGAAACCAAATATAATCATTAACCACTTTTCCAACATATACATGGGTGAATAAGATTGCATATGCAGACCCGTTACACTTATTTACGTTTGCGAAACCAGATAGTGTCTCTACTCCTCAGATAAAACAAGTGTGTAACTCGAAGCTGACTAAACAAACCAATAACTGATAGGTCAGTTTGACCGAACACGTTCGAGAATATTTCAATTATGTGATATGGAATGTGACTTGACAAAATTACTCACTCATTTTTTCTTGAAATGATTTCGGTTTAGGACTCCACGCACAACCGAGTATGTAAACCGGTATACCAGTTAAAATGATCAAAATACCATATACTATAAAGGGATAAGACAATCGAAAATTCAGTAAAGAGATGAAATCATTGTTATACTAAGAAAATAAACCATTTCCGAAATCAGTTCCATTTAACTAAAATGATGAGAAGATTACTTCATCTTTCAGTAGTACAGATCAAATAGTTTTCAATAACACTTCAATTTCGATCATGATTTAAGTCATAAAGTGACATAGGAATAACCGACAAGAAGAACCATAGGAAAACTGAACTAGATTTTTCTTAGTTCTGAACTTTCTCAACAATGAAGGGCTACAAAAAGCTATAACATCGAATACATGCGATATTTTGGTCTTGTGAAGAAATGTCGGTTTCTGTACCATTGAGTAGCAAAAGATTAGTTCGGTTATTCTACTAACATTAGTTTTCGTTAGCAATACACCACGATTTTGCGCGAAAGTCATCGTTAAGTTATGGTCTCGTCTGTCACCATTTCAACTCAGTAGCTCACAACTTACTAACCAACTCGAAGGTAGGTAGTCACTTATGAGATTATGGCTGATTAGTTTGTTGTTTAAAATTCAATCTCCATATTCATAGTTGAATAATACAACGAACTGTCATTCCTACATTTAGAAAGTAAACATACGAATTTAAAGGACATAATTTATAACAAATGACCTACATGATTCTTGAGGTGATCCATAAAAAGAGAAAATTAACAGAGATGCAGTAACTACTAAGTAGATAATGGCGAATACTATAGGAGCCTGTAATAAATATAGATAATGAAAAAATAAAAATTCTTTGATATAGTAGTAGTATTAGTAACAGCTGAAAATATTAAATTAAATGATAATGCAGTGTGTGCTACGTATATCAACATAAGTAATACATAACTCAAGACAGGAATAGAGTGTCTGGCAGCTGAAGGTCGAGAAGATCGAGGAGAATTGAATGGGAACAGAAAGCGATTGGTAAGGAAATGCAGAAACAAAGAAGTCTATGAAGATTGACTGACATTTCGCAAATGAATTATTCATTGTATGGTTCTCAAATTTTACTAAGATGTTCTGTTATGTTGCATCAAATTACATTCGACTGTCCCCACGTGTGTTCTCGTTCACTACATCAATAGTAGAAAAGATCTTTTCAATGATTTAAAACGATTTTAATGCTTTGCTTCAAAATTTTTATCAACGTAACAGCTTTAAAAAGATTTTTCTAATTTTATGTCAGTTCATAAAACTAATGTCTAATTTCAACACCGCACAGAACGAATCTTCCAACAGAAGACTAATGGTTGAATAGAAAAAGTAATGATGTAGTGCTAAATTGACGCAAAAGCTAACAAAACAATCCAATGCTGACATTGTACAACTCAATAAAGTTGTCCAAAACAAAAGTTAACTAGAACTAGTCATGATTAATAACAATCTAATGCAATCATATAATATTTTATTAATTGAATTCATGAGTCCATTGAAGCTAGACCACCATGGTAAACCTGCAAACAGTGAACGACCGTATCATATTAGAATGAAACTCCTCGGCAGTGCACATCCACCATCCCGCCCCACGAGATTCGCACTCAGGAACTATCAGTCTCGAGCGCGAATGCTTAACCTTTGGATCACTGACGGTGTCAATGTCTAAATTCAACCAATCCACGAAATTACGCCACCTCCGCGGTGGACTAGCTATAATTGAATAATCAATTCAATTATTAAATTACTATGATCTCCATAAAACCACTCTCTCATTATAATCATATAATCTTAAGGAATAATATCGCAAACCTACTTCAGAAATTTTAATTTACCTTAACCGGACGTTGAATATTAGGACGAGTAAATCTGAAAATTACTACAATCAGAACACAAAGACCGATTGCCAACCATTGAACAAAACCCATATAATTCATAAGTGTGAAAATATCTCCAGCAAGCAAGTAAATTATTGATATGATACACTAAAATAGTAATCAGTAAAAGTTAAAAAATAAGCAATAGAATCACAATACATACACTGAACAATAGTAATTCATGTAAATCACAATTTATAACGATAATCAAGTAAGTGGTCTGCTTGGATATCCGGGATACTTGTTCCTGACATCTGGATTTTCCAACAAATTATCTGTTTTTTTGTTTGTCGTAACACACCATTATGCCTATTAGTCACATAACCTATTCAGGCACGTTTGTCAAACGTTTACGACATTTCGCTGTAAGATTTGAAGTTTAAAATGATTTCATTACTTTATTTCAAAACTCCTCATCAGCTAAAACGCTTAACCCTATACACAATTACATGATTAGAAATAAAGATTTGGGACAATCTATTATGTAAATTTGAAGTTAATTTTCAAAGGTTTCATGTCTCTTTTCAAACCTGTATTTCATCTTCAGCAATTAAAGTTTTTCTAAACCATGTTTTCATTCGTAGCCTTCTTTGAAACTGTAAAATGAAAATCATTGGTCTTGGTGTGTTTCAATTACTAAAAAGCCATTATTGTCAAAGGGACCCACAATCTAATTACAATTTACTATGGCTGTGACGGCAGACTAGAGGACAGTGAATTATCGATCGGACCAAAGACGCGCAAACACGTAGGAACGGCCTAGGGTTCTGATTGGTCCCGCTTCCCTGTCTAGCCCAGCCAGTTGAGTCCAGAACGCAAGTCTCAGCCTCAAAGATATGAATCATTATATTTCAAACATACTCTGTTTATATACCAATCAAGCAGACCACATCGCACCATAAAATAGAAAACAACATTGTAAAATATCGACCAGTAGAAAAATGATACCATCTCAAGTCCAAAGGATAGCGTTAGACTTCACAAAACAATTTTTCTGATATTTTTCTGAATATCCTAACAGTTTCAATTTTATTATCATTAAACGTCATCCTACAACCAGTTTAAACATATTCGACATTGTTCCAAATTAGACATCAAATGTTCACATTTAAAACATACTAACTGATTTGTAAGGATGCAAATACTTTTTATTATCTATTTATGTTTGACGAAAGTAGTGTTATGCAAGAAACTCACAGTAAACAGAACAGCCGGAATAGGTGTTAATCGATCCGTGTGCAAGTAACTGACAAAAGCTGGCATTTGCTTACGCTGACTAGCAGCAACAAATATTCTCGATGTAGTTAATATAGTTCCGTTAGCACTCCCAAACGTTGAACAAGCAACAAATATTGGCATTATCCACCAAAACATTCCGTATATTCTATTAGCAAATGTCTGTTTTCGTAAGTAAACGAAAAAAATGGTTTCAAAGTAAATCCAACTTATTCAGTAATTTCAATAGTGTAATAAGAAGCCGAAGAGTATCAGAACGATGTGATATATTAGCGCAAAACATTTCGAACAATCTGATCACATGTACTTATCAAAAACATTTGTATATAAACATAAAAGTTAACTAGACTAGAAATGGAAGTTTAGCGGAGACAGGGTTAAGAAATAATGTGAAGAAAATTGGAACTCTTCACTTCTACCTGAAGATTGGGTTGATGATGTCGTTCAGAAGAACTATGAGGGCTCTACGATCAAATCATCCAGCTCATCGAACAAAACCCCATCAAAATCATCCAACTGAGCTACAAATCTTCTCCAGTGTCTCAAGCTTATGTTACCATGATAGGTTTAAGGTGAGAAAAAACTGTTTTTGAATACAAAGAGGCAGTTTGAATTTTCGTATACACCCTTTTGCACTTTTGTATAACACCACAAAATCTGAATTAAAATCAGTTTCATGACCTGTTTCCATTATGCGTTTGGCAATTAAGGATGATGGATGTTTATCCTCGATTCTTATTGGGTAATTTGACTCTGTTTATTTCTGCAGCCATTTAGGTACCTGTGCACACACCCTAAGTTTCAGATAACGATTACTGCCCTCTACGAATGTGTGACCACACACACATTTAAATTGGTAAATACAATCGGATGCGACGCAACCGTTCTCTTTTAGGCTTTTGATGAAGCATGAATCCTGTTGGTTCCTTGATAATGGCAGATTCAAGTCTTTGTGTCGAAGAATGGCTATTTGTTTCACCTCTAAATGGTAAGGTGATATAGACAGGCATTTTCTCTGCCAAAGATATAGTAGGTCTCACTGTACCATCAACTTTCTTTCTATTTATGAATCTCAGAGGATATCCAGTTTCCGTTAATGTTTTACTTAGCAACCTAACATCATCATCAATGGCGTCATTTGTACAAATACGATCAAGTCTGTTAAATAAGCACCTCTACAAACCCCGTTTGTATTGCACGAGGCAATAACTAAAATAAAGAAGGTATTGAACTGTCCAAGATGATGTGATCTTGAACGGTGAAAATACATTAATAAAATTCTTGGTTTATAGGAAAATTGATTAAAAGCATCAATACACCAACAAAATTACTATTCCACCTACCACAGCCACAGCTCTTGTGGTCAAAATCTCTGCAACTGGTACGACTGTTACATAGGCTACATTAGCAGCTGTGTAAACTAGAGTCACTAGTAAGCACGATACCACAATTGCTATAGACAAATGTTTCCTGGGGTTCCTCATTTCTTCAACCACACAATTTAAGTTAGTCCAGCCACCATAAGCGAATAAACCACTGTAAAATGCATTAGCTATTTTACCAGGACTCCAGCCCGAATCAACAAAAGGTTCTTCCAGCTCTTCATAACGACCTAAAAGAAGTTAAACAATAAAGTACAATGCGAGATACCTTAATGAATTTACTAAATAAATAAATATATCATGGCGTAAAGAGTGATTACAATCACAAATACATAGAGATTATAAATCCCAGTCAGTCGCTTAGAAGAGATAAATCACAGTGAATTACTAATAACAATTGGAAACAGCTGGAAAACAGAACACAGGGCAAGAGAATACTAGTCGGTGGCCTATGCTTCACGAGGGATAACAGACGTAAGTAGGACGAAGGATCATTTTACTCATTCATAATTTATTGAAGAATCACTCTATTCAGATTGAGATCTTTGAAAAAATAAAAGTAGTCTGACATGTCATTAGAAAAGTCATATAATCAAAGAGCGATAACAGAAATGAAATGTTCAAAGGTTGTTGCATTGAAACAACGTTTGATGTAAGATATATTCAATCAATTAATTAATTATGTGTATTCTTGACAGAATACAGGGAAGATTATTTTTCTCAAGCTTGATGACTAATATTGCGAATTTTTAAACTCACCGAAGTGCGTTTTATCACATACAGTCGTACAGTCTTGTTCTTCGAAAACCTTTATACAACACTTACTATTCTGTAAACAAAATATCATTCTTATTGTAGACTAACTTAACATACTTGTTGCCATTTAGTTTAGATTAAACAATCACTTCATCTGAAATGAGAAACTCCTGAATGATGCACACATCAAAAAAATCTTCATGTCAAGATGGAACCACTCATAGTTCAACAAAAATCACAAAACAAAACCGACTCTAATTATTTTGATAATAAAAGGTGATTAAAATAATTTTAAAGAATGATATAATTAAATTACCAAATCCAATCTGTACAAATCCGGTGACAATGATCATTATAAGAGCGGCAAGTTTCGCAAGTGTAAATATATCTTGTATTCTGGTTGAGAATTTGATTGAAAAGGAATTGGCGAAGCTTAGAAATGCTAAGCAAAATGAAACAAGATGACAATAAATTAGGAAATGTTCATTGAAATATCATCAGTGTGATCGTTCTAAACATTTTCAGATGAAAAATCATCAGTAATAGTGAAAACAGCAAACTATTGTAAAATAGTAACTCACTAAAGACAACGGTAAATGTGTCGCTCAAATTCGTGGATTGGTTGAATTTAGACATTAACACCGTTGGATGCCGGTCGGCTCAGTGGTCTAGTGCTTAGGCGCTCGCGCTCGAGATTGATAGGTCTTGGGCTCAGATCTCGTGAGGCGGGATCGTGGATACGCACTGTTGAGGAGTCCAATCATAAGGCAAAACGGCCGTCCAGTGCTTTCATTGAAAAACTACATAACCTTCTTCTAAGTGATTTTCTCTCAGTATCTTATCATCAAATTAATTTATCACATATCGCTTCCATTGATACTTTTATTTTGACAGGTAATTAGATAATAAACGAACCGCTTACTATGTAAACAATGACTAGAATATATTATTTATTCCAAACAGTTTACTGAAGTTACCGATTGATAACTACCAGTAGTATTGAGATCTATAAGCCAACTAATCAAAATACTGATGTAATACATTTGAATATATCTGGTAATAATTATAATTAAATCGTTGCCATTTTGCAAATCTGTCAAAAGAATAATTTACGATTGAAGGCACACAGTCACCAGAAATTAACACTTCTCAGTTTTCCTTTATTCACTGAGAACTCATAATTTAACTGTCGTCAGTTTTTCACTTTCTGATTCGTATTTCGTTTATTCACATTTTGACACTTTCGGCACTTATCACTCAAATAACTTTTATTCAATTTCACTGGTTTCAGTCCACCATTAATCACATTCATCATTCTTCTGTCGTACAAGTTTTGCGTTAAAATCCCTACAGATCATACATATTTGGCAAGAATGTCGAAAACAATCAGGATTTATGGTATTTTTCCCAAATGTTATTATACTCTACTCAAATATAAAGAACAAACGAATTTTGATGGAATGATTCAGGTCACCCATTTCAAGGAACGAAGTAGCTACTTACCAGTGCTATATGTTCATCAGCACTGTTATACTCTCACCCAACAGTGTTTGTCATTTCTATGTTATAAAACTGCCTTTGATGGGGACCATTGTCGAGTTTCTTCATCTTAACAACTACTTTCATTTTCCGCTTATCAAAAATATATTTCGGCACATCTTAATAAATAAAATGGAAAAAACGCTGTAGGAAAATATTTTTAAACATACTAATACATAAAACCGCCAAAATCCTGATCAACGTAAAGGGCAGTGGACAGTCTGGATACAAAGGTACAACAACATACTCCCCAAATGTCAAAGCTACTGTAGCGGTAAATAAATCCCCAAAATAAATAGCACTAAGTTTTCGACATTGGATGCTGACCATATGTTTTAGTGGACTCATCTAGCTGAAGGCGCTCGGTCAGGCATCTGCACCAGATCACGTGTGGTAACGCCGTGCTCAACATCAACCGCAATCGCTAGCCAGATTAGATCAGAGAATTCCGATATATTGGTCATCGCCAAATATACTCTTCCGATCTCCTCGACTCTGTCTTTTGATTTCTCTGGGCGGGAACGAAATATATTAGAAGGTGTTACTGGTAGAAGCGTTGTCAAACACTGAATACCTGTGACATCATCATTGGTGAAACCGACGTGATCTGGTACACCTAATTGCAACTGTGAGCCTGTTCCTTTTTGGGATTTTTATATATCATTGCCCTATTTTTTTATTTTTTTAAACATTGTGATTTTTTTTTCGTGTTTTTTCTTGGATATATATTTTTTCCCCTCGTTCATTATCATACTTAATATTTCATCATGACTGAACAGACACCTAAAGTACTCAAGCTTAAGACTTTGCCCCCACCTTCGTTTCAACTGATGCCTTTCTGGCCCGACAACATCGAAGCCTGGTTTTGCTACGCCGAAGCCGACTTTTCCGAGCACGGCGTGATCGACACACGTGCACAATTCCTCGCAGTAGTCAAGGCACTACCGCGCGAATTCAACAGGTACGTAACACCTAGTATGTTTACTAGTGATGTTTCCGATCCTTACGAAATCTTAAAACGCTCGATTCTTAAACGAGGAGACCTAACCGATCGACAAAGGTTAGATCAACTCTTCAACAATATCGACCTGCAACACGGTTCTGCGACAGACATGTTGCAACGGATGAGAGAGGTTATAGGCCCAAGAACTTTCGACGAAGGCCTATTCAAACAACTCTTCTTGTCAAAACTTCCCCAACAGGTGCAAGCAGTTCTGGTCTCGTTCCAGAACAACGCCTTAGACGAGCTAGCTGCATCTGCCGACCGCATTTTAGAAATTACGAAATCTACTACCGAGGTATTTTCAGTCAAAGAAAAACCTCAAACGACTCAGAATGATATAAACGACTTATGTCACACACTCACGCGTTATCTTAGTCTTCGTACCGACCGTAAGAGATCGCGCACACCACGTAGAAGCATTTCTCGTAAGCGATCTGTCTCTAGACCACGAGAGACAGATAACCCCGACTGGTACTGGTATCATAACCAATATAGAAAGCTTTCCAGAAATTGCAGAAAACCCTGCAATTTTCCCAACACGAAACCGACTGATTCGAAAAGCAATTCGGGAAACTTCCAAGCCGGCACGCGTTAACGGCAACCGTAGCCGGCGAACAAAGCCGTCTGTTATACGTCACAGATGTGACAACGAGAGTTCGCTACCTCGTCGACACTGGCGCAGAAGTTAGCGTTCTCCCAGCAAATCCTAACGACCGACTACACGAATCGACCCTAAACTTACAGGCGGCAAACGGAAAACCGATCGCTACGTATGGCGAAAGGTACGTTTACCTTAACGTGGGTTTACGCAAACCCATCCACTGGATTTTCGTTGTTGCAGATGTTTCTATGCCAATCATTGGTATAGATCTTCTACAACACCACAATCTGATCATCGACACGCGCAAACGGAGGCTAGTAGACGGTAACACTAATTTGTCCGTTTGCGTAACTTCTTTTACTGGTTGCAGAGTATCCCCAGTCACAGTTAAACATATGATAGACCCACTCTATCAACCACTACTCGATAAGTACCCTGAGATACAACAAACTCAAACGAAACTACCGTGTGTAACCAGCAAGGTTACACATCACATCACGACTACAGGACCACCTGTATTTTCTAAAGCACGCCGACTAGCTCCTGAAAAGCTAAGGTTAGCGAAAAACGAATTCGATCACATGATGGACTTAGGAATCATACGACCATCAAGTAGCCCATATGCATCTCCGTTGCACATGGTCCCTAAAAAGGACAGCAACGATTGGCGTCCAACTGGTGACTATCGGCGATTGAACGCGAAAACCATTCCCGATCGTTACCCGTTGCCTCACATTCACGATTTGACAGCCACCTTGAAAGGTACAACTGTCTTTTCGAAAATCGACTTGGTTAAAGCGTATAACCAAATCCCTATGGCTACTGACGACATACCGAAAACGGCTATCATAACTCCCTTCGGACTCTATGAATTTTTGCGAATGCCTTTCGGTCTAAGGAATGCTGCTCAAACATTCCAAAGATTCATAGACGACGTTTTTCGAGGCCTCAACTTCGTACATGCGTATGTTGATGACTGTCTAATCGCAAGTCCGGACAGAGAAACACATCTCAAGCATCTGGATCTTGTTTTCGAACGACTTCAAAAACATGGCATAACTGTAAACGTTCAGAAATGCCAATTCGGAACCGACTCGTTAGACTTCCTAGGACAAACTATCGATGCTCAAGGCATTCAACCTCTTAGGACCAAAGTGGCGGCCATTCTGGATTACCCAGAACCGACCACCGTCAAGCGATTGCGCACGTTTAACGGCCTGGTAAGTTTCTATAGACGTTTCATACCCAAATGCGCATTACTTATGAAACCTCTGACCGACCAACTTCGTGGAAATGCGAAATCCATTAATTTGGACGACACCGCACGAAAAGCATTCTCCACAGTTAAGGAACTGATTGCTAAAGCAACAATGCTCGCACATCAGGACACCCGAGCACCCATTAGCATCGCAGTAGACGCATCCGACTCAGCAATCGGAGGAGTCTTACAACAATGGGTTAACAACTCCTGGCAACCCTTGGCATTTTTCTCTAGAAGGTTGCTAGACACCGAATCGAGGTACAGCACATTCGGTAGGGAACTCCTAGCTATGTATTGTGCTGTACGGCATTTCCAACACTACATCGAAGGTCGTGAATTCACTCTTTTCACGGATCATAAACCGCTTACTTTCTCGTTAAGCTCTCCTTCTGACAAGTACTCTCCCCGTGAGTCTCGACAACTGGACTACATTTCGCAGTTTACTTCAGATATTCAACACGTCTCTGGAGCAAACAATGTAGTTGCAGACGCTTTATCTCGTATAACTTCCTTGAACAGTTTCCAAGGAATCGACCTTCTTAAACTCGCCGAGCTTCAAAAAGAAGACAGTGATCTTCAGCACGAGTTATCGTCCACAACACTTAAACTACGCATCAAACAGATGGGAACAGGTAAGGAAACCTTACTTTGTGACACATCTACAGGTAGGGATCGCCCAATCGTGCCGAAACATTATCGACGCAATGTCTTCAACACATTGCACAAACTTTCGCATCCAGGTGTTCGTGCAACCATCAAGCTTATAGCAGAAAGGTTTTGCTGGCCTGGAATGAATAAAGACGTGAGGGAGTGGGCACGCTCCTGTGTAAGCTGCCAAAAATCTAAGGTTATAAGACACAATAAATGTCCCTTAGGCTCGTTTAAAACTCCCGATGCTCGTTTCGACCATGTTCATTTGGATTTGGTAGAACCTTCACCAGATTCAAAT